CCTGGAGGCGTATGATGAGCCACCTCAACCCCCACCAAGCCGTCACACCCGCAGGCCAGACCCCAGGGACCCTGGCTGCTATGGGCCTGAGAGTCTCACCTTCATATCTGGCTCTGCTGAGGCAGCCGCTGAGCCCTCTGCCTGCTGTCAGCTCTGGCGCCCCTGGGTGTGGGACTGGTGCCGGGCTGCCTTCTGCTTCCGCCGCTGCTGGGATTGCCTCCAGCGCTGCGGAGCCTGTGTGCAGGGCTGCAGCCCATGCTTGTCCACCAGGGACTCTACTGAGGGGGCTGCTGACGCCAGCTGGGCCAAGGAGCACAATGGGGTGCCCCCCAGTCCTGACCGTGCACCCCCTAGCCGGCGGGATGGCCAGCGGCTCAAGTCAACCATGGGCAGTAGCTTCAGCTACCCTGATGTCAAGCTCAAAGGCATCCCTGTATATCCCTACCGTAACACCACCTCCTCAGCCCCTGATGCGGACTCCTGCTGCAAGGAGCCACTGGCCCAGCCCCCACCCACAAGGCACAGCCTACCTAGCACCCTTGCCAGCAGTCCCCGGGGCTCGGAGGAGTACTACTCCTTCCACGAGTCGGACCTGGACCTGCCAGATATGTGTAGTGGCTCCATGTCGAGCCGAGAGATCGACGTGCTCATTTTCAAGAAGCTGACAGAGCTGTTCAGCGTACACCAGATTGATGAGCTGGCCAAATGCACGTCAGACACCGTGTTCCTGGAGAAGACCAGTAAGATTTCGGACCTTATCAGCAGCATCACACAGGACTACCACCTGGACGAGCAGGATGCTGAGGGCCGCCTGGTCCGTGGCATCATTCGCATCAGTACACGCAAGAGCCGTGCTCGCTCACAGCCCACAGAGGGACGCTCAACCCGGGCTGCTACCTCCGCTGCTGCTGCCCCTGACAGTGGCCATGAGACCATGGTGGGCTCAGGCATCAGCCAGGATGGTACGTGGGGACCAGGGGCGCAGAGCGGGAGGTTCTGGCCAAGGGAGAGTTGGACTGGGGTCTTTGGCCACTGTGATCCCAGTCCCCTCCCAGTCCCTGCTCTGCCTCCTCCTCTTCCTCTTCTCTCAACTCCTCTGCATCCCACCCCTCACTCCTGCCCTGGCCCTTCACAACTCAGCCATTCTGGGAAAAACTGAGAGGAGCATCCAGAACCTGGGAGATCTGTTGTCCCCAGAAAGGACAAGGCTCTCTCCCCACCAAGCTCATCTATAGGATCCTTCTATCCACCTGCCAAAGTAGCTTCCAGGCCTAGCCTGGTTAACAAGGCCCAGGGACCTGTATGAATTTGGATCTCTGATCTGCCCTGGCCTAACCAAAACCCCCATATAGCCACTACTTCATGCAGCGTGCACGCACACACATTATCTATGTGTCTCTGTTTTAAACATTCTCTCTCCAGCCCTGCCCAGGTTGAGTGGCCCCTCCCTCATTGGGTTGGGAACAGAGCGAGGGTGGGGTTGAAAGGAGACGATAATGACCTCTGCCCCCATGTTCCCTCCCTAGAACTGACAGTGCAGATCTCCCAGGAGACAACCGCCGACGCCATCGCCAGGAAGCTGAGGCCTTATGGAGCCCCAGGTCTGGTCCTGGCCTAATGAGGAATATGGAGAGGAGTAGGGACTGCCCTCGGGGCCCCCCACATGCCCCTCTCCCAGCTTCCTTCTGGGGTGGGTGAGGATGGGAACAGAAAGGGACAAGGGGGCTGAGCATCCACAGATTCCCTTCCGATCCTGCAGGCTGGCTTAAAGCGGTTCAGTTGGAAAGGATTCAGAGGGCTGGCCCTAAGCTAGCAGTGGCCAGGTGCCCAGGACTGGCAAACTGGAAAAGATTCAACCCCAAACCCTAAGCCCAGATTGCTGGGGGTGGAAAGCCAAGGGTCTCGTGCTCAAAAGGCACCCTGTGTGGTTTGCACTGCCATGGCCTTCACAATAACCCCCTGGGTGTGGGGTCATTACCCTTTTATAGAGGAGGCTGGGGCTCAGAGAGATCAAGAAGCTGAGTGGGTCACACAGCCAGGATCAGACTGACCCAGGCTCAAATCCTGCTCTCCTCCTCAGCAGGCTTATCCCTGGCTATGGACCTCGATGAGCTCTTTCCCCTCTCTGAGCCTGTTTCCTCCTCTCCCTTTCCCCCCAGGGTACCCAGCCAGCCACGACTCGTCCTTCCAGGGCACGGACACAGACTCCTCAGGGGCACCCCTGCTCCAGGTGTACTGCTAACCCCTGCCGGGCCCAGCAGCCACAGCCCCTTCTGAGAGAAGGCACAGCCTACAGAATGAAAAGGGAGACCAGGACCCCCTCTGAGCGAGTCTGGGCCATGAGCCTAGGAGCGGTGCCCACTCTGGCTCCTCCTCCCTTGGCTGACTGGTTCCTGGACCACGTGCATTTCACTGGGCCATGGTGTCCACATTCCCCTTGCATCACCAGCTGGCCTGAACCCTGCCTGGCTTGTTCCTTCCTGCCTATGGCCTTCTGGTGGCCTGGGTCATGGAAAAAGAGTTACCTTCTGGGATTGAATCCCGACTCCACTCCTATACAGGACTTTGAACCGGTTCATTCCGGTTTGAACCCCTGCTGAGAATTTGCATTTCCACCTCAGATATACTGAATTAGAATCACAGTTTAACAAGATCCCCGGGTGATTCTTATGTATAATAAAATTTTGAGAACCACTGCTCTACTAGTAGTTCTCAGAATTGGTCCCTAACCAGCAGTGTTGGCATTGCCTGGGAACTTGTTAGAAACACAAATTCTCAGCAGGGGCTCGAATCTGAATGAACAGGTTTGAAGCCCTGCCCCTGTAAAATGCCACCCTAACCAATCATGCAAACTTCTCCCTCCCTGGGGGACCCCAGCAGCTAAAAGAAGCTTGTCTTACATGGATTGGGTTAGGGGATGAACAGGGCTTCTAGGGAATCCTGTGGGCAGTGCCCACTTATGAGATGACCTACTTGAACATTGTGCCTGGTTCTTTGCTGATGATCTGCATGCTAACATGACTAGTTGCAACTACAAAGGTAATAGACATATATCCTTGGTCATTTCAACTGTGACACTGTCCTATTTGCCTGACTCCTGCCCCAAGCAGAAGACTGGATAGAACCCAGCCGGGCTATGTTGTGGGGTTGAAGTCAGAGGAGCTCCACTCAGCCACTTTGAGTTTCCTCATCAGTACGACGGCAGCGATAATGCCCACCTCTCAAGGTCACTGAGTTCCAGATGAAAGGCTGAGTGTCTGTACCTGAAAAGGCTTAGCAAGTGGTTTGTCACTGTTGAGAAGTTCTTGGCAGGCCTATCTGGACTCCTCCTGCTACCCCGCCAAGCCCACTGCCCACAGGCTGGCCTGCCTCTGGCCATCCCTTCAACTCCCCCAAATCCCTGCACGTTCGCCAGCCCCTGCCCAGTCCTGTTGCTCCTCTACATTCCTCCTGGTGCTGACCAAGTTCTCTTCTTGGCCTTCCCAACAACTATGGAGTGGGATGGAGTCACTGTCCTTTCACAGAGGAGATTCAGAGGCCAAGCAACTCAGTGGGTCACACAGCCTAACTGTGGCTCTAGGCTTGGAAGCTGGGAACTCTGGAACCTGGTGATTTTGCCCCAAAGCTGGCAAGCTGACCTCCTGGGGGCAGCACCAGGACCCCCTCGTTTGGGCACTGGAGCCCAGCTGGCCTCAGGAGGATTCTACTTAGCTGTTCCGTGCACAGACTATGTAGTTAAGTCCTCTTTTGGCAGGGAGGCCAGGACAGGCCCATAGGCTCATTCTTGACAACAAGCTGGCAAGTGTTTAGGATCCCTCATCCCCACTTCACCTACAGCCCTTTTTGTTGTCCCCAAGGGAACCCTTTGGAACGTGACTGGACGAACTGTACCTATCCAATTGCTATCATACACAGGATGGTCCCTCGGGGCTGTGATCACAGGGCCCAGCTGTAACTCCAGCTCCGGCATTAAGCCAGCCCCTTTCCTTAGGCTCTTCGGTCTCATCCATATCAAGGCCTCTCCACAAGACTGCATGACCACAGGCTGCTGGCTGGAGCCCAGGGCTGTGGCTGCAGAGTAGAAGCACTTCACCCCAGCCACGGCCCTAGAGCAGCATTTTCTAAACAGCCTTGGGAACCATTATTGGCATTTTCAGAAAACAAGGCTTTATCAAGTTTGGAAAACAGACAAGGCTAGGTATCACACCACCTCTCTGAAGTCCTCAATAAACTATTCTGAAATTCCAAAAGGAAGGACATGCTGTGTTCCAGAAATTCACGGGTCACCCAGGGCCCACAGAGCAGAGCACTCTGGGAAGGTCAACCTTGACATTCTTGCTATGGCCTCTGTTGCCCCTTGCACTCAGTGACCCTCACCCTCTGGCCAAAGTAGGGCAGGATCCAGGCAGAGGTGCGCACCTCAGCCTGGCCGAGGAGGCCTGCCCCAATGGCTGGTTCTGAGGCCTAAAATCTATAGAGGTCCAGGTCAGAGACACAAACAATGGGGCCCATGGACTTTACCCTGTTCGCTGGGCCAGGTCCCTGTGCCACACAGAGCAGATCCAAGGCCTAGGCAATCCCCTCACCCCACCTCCCAGCTAGGCAGGGACCCCTAGCCCTTGCTGCTCTTCCACCCCTGAGAAACAATGGTGCGAAATTGATCCAGGGCTGGAGCACAGACCAACTGCAGTGGAAGTTCTCTTAGAGATGAAAATCTAATCAAAAGTCTATAGTTGGTCTTAAACTTTGCTGGGTCACGGGGCCCTTTGAGAATCTGACGTATGTTCCAATCCTTGTAGGCAGAAAAACTCACTTTTGCTCAGAATCATACACAGACTAAGTCTTGTTTTAATACTCCCTTTAATGAGGAGAAACTGAGGCCCAGAGAGGGGCAAGTCACATGGCAGAATCTGGGCTGGAAGCCAAGCATTCAGCTCCTAAGAGCAACTCAAGAGGCCTGTGCCCCAGGGAAAGGCCAGAGAGAGACAAGGACATAGATGGAGTTGGGTAAACAGCTTTAATGTGTAACAGTAGGCCAACTGGGGAGGACAAGACCCCCAAGGCCCCAGCCCTTTTCCCATGATGCCCTGGGACCCATATGTCTGGGCCAGTCCCATGCCTACCCAAGCCCTGAGGCCCCCAAATCCCAGGGAAGGGTGGGAAAGAAAGCTGGATGGCTGGGATCTGAGTTCTGAAAGTTCAGGGTTGAAAACAGGTTAGTTGAATTTGGCCTTGGAAAAATCCATCTCCGGATGCTGATCCATGAACCTGGGAAGAAGGAGGAAAAGGGTAAAAAGGACACCTTCCTCTCCCCCAAAGCCAGTCCCTTTCTCCCAGCCCCTCAAGTCAGGTTAATCTCTTAAGGACCCTGAGCAACCTGGAAGGCAACCAGCCCAGGCTCGGCAGGGATGGGGCTCCAGGATCTCCAAGGCTGGAAGATGGGGTGCCAACACTGGCCCTGTTTTCCTGGGTGGCAATGACTGCCTGTTACCCTGAGTTGGCCTTGCCCTCAAGATGACCTCAGCAAGTGATTAGGGGAGGCAGGCCAGGGCCATAAAGCCATAAACGTGACTGACTCACCCTGGAAGGGGGGAGAGTAGCTCCTGCGCCTGCCTGTGCAGTGCCTGCCCACTCAGTGATTTCAGTCCCTGCTATCATCCACCTCTATCTCTGAAATGCTTACTTCTTCAGAATCTCCTGTTTCTTCTGCTCATCAGAGGTAGGCAGCCCCATGGATTTCTGTCTCTGATCATACATCATCTTCTCCACCATGCTGCGGGTCTCACTGTCCAGGTCTGACAGCTGGGAACAGGCAGTTACAGGGACGGGTGAAGCTCTGGGGCCGCCCCAGGCCCTTCACCTCTCTCCTAAAGCTCTCCCAATCAGTCAGGGCTCACCTTGGAGTTCTCAGGATTGATCTTCTTGGTATTGATCTCAGGGTCACTGGACACCAAGCGGCTCCACCACTCCATCTTGTTGATCTGCGAGGAAGGGGAGGAGAACCACCGGGGGATGGGAGGCAGCTCACTCTATGCCCTGGGAACCACCCCCAGCCCTTCCAGAACCAAACTTTCTCCCCCCACCCACATCCTGCACCCGATATCCATGGAGGCCTGTTCTGGGCACCAGGGGTCCAGATGAGTGAGATCCAGTCCCTGCCCTCTCCAGTGGCTGGGGGAGATAGACATGGAGACAAACAGTGAACAATCAGCATGATAAGTGGAAGAATGAAGTACAGAAGGAGATACTCATCCAGGGTAGAGGGAGAGAAGGACCTTAACAGACAAGCAGTATACCAGATAAAAAAAGTAGAGGACATTCCGGTTAGGAACAACAAGTGCAAGGGTGAGGAAGGGCAAGTGAGGGCAGCAAAGGCCAGGTGGGCTAGGAGAGGGCCTCAGGTGCTATGGAGGCTTTCCTTGGACCCTTGACTCTTTACAGAGATACTTTTATTTACTGGTATCCGTGTCCCCTCTCCCTGTGAAGGAAGTGGGGCAGGGAATGTACGTCCCCTGAGGGCAGGGATTTTTCTGTTTTGTTCACTGTTCTCTCTCCAACACTTAGAACAGTGCCTGGCACACAGGTATTCAAATGTTTGCTGAACTGAACGTATGTACCTAATGAAAAGAGAGAGGCTTTGGTACCAAAGAATATGTTTCAGCCCTGACTCCACCACTTCTTAGAGGTAGGTGCTTGGGCAAATCTCTGAGCGGCCCCTTTCTTGACTGTAAAGTGGGGACAGACCTACTTTAAAAGTCCTACTGTGAGGATTAAATGAGCTATGTCAACAGCACCCAGCACAGTGAATAAGCAGATATCCTCCCCTCCTGCTCTATCAACATCCCAGGTAGGAGTGCTGGGCCCCAGGCTGGGCCCCTCGCACCTTCTCCAGATGCACCGTCACCACCTTGCCATCCTCGATGAGCCATGAGCTCTCCTCCACCTTCACCTCGTTGTAGAGCTCCCCGTCAATGATCGCCGGCTGCCCCTTCAGCCCCACCCGGAGGTGCCGCCGCTGGATGTCCACCACCAAGTCCTTCCCCTTCAGCCGGAAGTTCACGTGGAAGGGCACCACCAGCTGCATGGGGCAGGGGAAGTCAGGAGAAGCCACTGGGGGCTGCCAGGACCCCAGACGGGCTCCCTAACCTCCATCCCTGGCCCTGCCACTCACATCCAGCTCCGATAAGGTCTGGGTCCAGCGGTAATTGGGCAGGTCTGCCCCGTTGCCTAGGTTGGGCTTCAGTTTCCCTTTGTCTTTCTCGTCTTCCTCCTCATCCTCGTCCTCCTCAGTCTCCTGCTCACAGTCAGGGGTGCTTAGTGACTTGACAGATAAAAACTGAGCCCCTACCTGGGCAGGCCCAGGGCTGGCACTGGGCAAACAGCCACAAAATGAAAGAGACCTGATCCCTGCCCACTCCAGGTTCCGATCTCTGCCTGAGAGGAGCTCAGACTGTTACACCATGTGATACAGGCCATGATTAGGGAACAGTGACAGTCAGAGATAGACCTAGAGGACCCAGCTATTCCAAGCTGAGGCAGTTGGGAAAAGAGCCTAGCACGGACTGGAATAGACGGCACCACCGCTGAGGTGGCCTTGAGCAGGGTTATTCTAAAATAAAACCAGGCTGCAAAATTAGCAATTTCTTCTTCTGTTTCAGAGACCCCCTAGTCTCAGCCCAGAACCTCTGGAAAGCCAAATGAATATCCTAAGGACTGCCTGGGAAGCTGGACTCAAGAGTCAGAAGAGGGGGGAAAAAAGAAAAAAAAAAAAGTAGTGGGAGGGGCCCTGAGGAGCACATCCTCGAGATCTGTTCTGAGTGGCCCACCACGAAGGGCCAGTCCAGCCCATAGAAACTTGACGGTACCTGTGCAGGCACTGTCCTCTCTGGCTCTTTGGCTTTCTTGCTCAAACTTAAGGTCAGTAGGTTTTGTTTTGTTTTTTAATCCAGATCCTGAAGTATGGGGAAGATTCCGGAACCCAAGGAGGAGAGGGAAGGCATTCCAGAAAGAGGGGAAGGCTGGCGAGTCACCCCCAGCTAGTCCTGAGCCCCTCTAGCCCATCTCACCTGCTTCCCTGGTGAGCCAAGGCTGCCATTCTTGAGCTGGTTCTCATGATTCTCTGTGTCCTTTTTCTGTGGCAAAGGGCAGAGCAGTTGGCAAGAGGGTCCCTCACTTCCCAGTGTCAATGGGGGCCTGGGAGGTGGGGGGAGGGAAGCCCAGTCTCACCTGGTCAATCTCCAGCTGCAGCCTCTCTGCCTCCTCATCAGTCAGCTCCTTGATCTGGGGCCCAGAGGCCTCTGACTTGGCTTCCTTGGCCAGCCGGGCAGCCCGCTCTGCCTTCTCCCGCCGCTCAGTCTCCTGTCGGGCTCTCTTTTCCCGCCGGGCTGTCTGTGCCAGCTGGTTATGGTGGTTGAAGGTCTGTGTGATGAGCTAGAGAAGGAAGAGAAGGTACTAGGGCAGGAGACCACGTCCCAAGGCCTGGAGTCTAATCCCATCTCTATCAGCTGCGTGCATGGCCAAGGCACTTCACCCAGAACCTCAGTTTCCTCATCTGTAAAACAGGGGTAATACATCTAGCTCACAGTTACTGAGAATACCTGCAAAGAAAACCATCAAGAGCTTGCACAGTCCTTGCCACACCATAGCCACATATAAAGTGCTGGCACCTTTGCCTGGCCTTTTTTTTTTTTTTTTTTTTTAAAAAATACAGCCTAGTAACCAAGCGCATAGACAGTGAAGGTGGACAAATTCTAATCTTTGTCACAACCTAGCTAGTGGCAAATTGCTTAACTTCTAAGCGCTTCAGATTCCTCATCTGTGAAGGAGAATCCTCACCTCACAGGGCTGTCAAACCAAAATGGTAAGTGCTCCGAAACTTTGGGTATTGAGTGAAGCTGTTACAAGCTATACGCAAGCCCCAAGCGCTATGAGAAGCCTCCCTTGAGCTCTCAGGCCCACACCGACCTGCTCCGCTGAATGATCTCTTACCTGCATGTACCCTATCTCCCTTCCATGCAGCACCACTCCCAGAACCACCACATTAGCAGGAAGCCAGAGATCTTTCTTGAAGGAAGAGGCTAGTCTCTTCTTCGTGCCAGCAAGCTATCAATTCCAAACCCTTTCTCTCCCACTGAGCCTCCCCGGAATGTCTCTCCACATCCTGCTACCTGGCCTCCCTGCCGCCAAGTGCTACCTGTCACTACCTGGCTGTGGCCTTGGACAAGTAAGCAACTTTTTTTTTCCTTTTTTTTTTTTTTTAAAAAAATTGTGCTTTAAGTGAAAGTTTACAATTCAAGTTAGCTTCTCATACAAAAATTTATAGACACTGTTATGTAACCCTAGTTGCTCTCCCTATACTATGACAGCACACTCCTCCTTTCCACCCCTGATTTCCTGGGTCCATTCAACCAGCTCCTGACGCTCTCTGCTTTCTCATCTCACCTCTGGACAGGAGCTGCCCATTTAGTCTCATGTACCTACTTGAGCTAAGAAGCACACTCTTCACGAGTATCATTTTATGTCCCACAGTCCAGTCTAATCCTTGTCTAAAGACTTGGCCTCGGGAATGGTTTTAGTTTTGGGCTAACAGACCATGTCCAGAGGCCATGTCTTCCAGGGTCTCTCCAGTTTCAGTCAAACCGTTAAGTCTGGTCTTTTTACTAGAATTTGAGTTCTGCACCCTACCTTTCTCTTGCTCCATCAGGGACTCTCTGTTGTGTCCCGTCAGGGTGGTCATTGGTGGTTGCCCGGCACCATCTAGTTCTTTTGGTCTCAGGCTGATGAAGTTTCTGGTTTATGTGGCCCTTTCTGTCTCTTGGGCTAATATTTTCCTTGGGTCTTTGGTGTTCTTCGTTCTCCTTTGCTCCAGGTGGGTTGGGAACCAATTGATGCATCTTAGATGGCTGCCAAGTGAGCAACTTTGACTCTTTCTAAGCCTCAATTTCCTCATCTGTCATGAGGATCAAATGTGACAGCACCCATCAAGAGCCTGGTACAGTTCTTGCCACATCAAAGCCACATAAAGTATTGGCACCCTTTGCCTGGTTGGGGCTAGCCAAATGTCAGCTGATAAGGAATGGCGACAAATACTCTCTCTGCCATAAAAATAAAATGGGAGACAGCTCCACCTTGCTGTTTACACCAGTAGCCCTCCTGGCCAATCCTCATGCACCCCTGAGAGTCACACCTAGGTTTGAGTTCCTGGTCTACTCTTTCTACCTGTGTGATCCTAAGGGTACCTCTCCGTGCCTCTATTTTATTATTTCTAAAAGCAGTCTTGGCATATGCTGTTCTTTGCCTAGAATGCCCTCATCCCCACTCCCAGGTCACCTGGCAGACTTCTACTCCCTCTCCAGAACTAGCTCAAGTGTCTCTTCAGTCTCTGGCACATACAGGCCCACATACACACACACATATCCCTGGAAGAACCCTCACAGAGTGCCTGCCATGTGATCAGTGGTCAATAAACCATCTTTCAAGCATCTTTCTAAACCAGAGCTGAAAGGAGGGAGGAATCTGCAAGAGCTGTGGGCCCATGTGGGGCCTAGGGTGACAGGAGCTGCCCATGGGCTCCCAGACCTAGTGTTCTGCTAAATGCCCTATGCATCATTCATCTGACGCCAATTCCTCCCGCCACCCCCAACCCCCCAGCCTCATGCCTCACTGAGTAGCTCCACACTCTGCAGGGTTAAAGGGCACTAAAAGCACTCCCCAAACCAAATGGGTTAGCAAAACGAAGGGTGAGAGGAAGGAGCCTCCTGCAGGCCATTCGGCTGTGAATACAAAGAATCAGTCACAAGATAATCATGCCACTGGGGGCTGCTCCACCACACAGCCTTGGTTCCAAGTCCCTAATCGGAGAGACCTTGAACTCAAGCCATGTGCCAGCCATTGGCCCAGGAGAGGCAGAAGCAGGGCCCTCCTCTCTCCCAGCTTTAGTGAACCATGTCACATCCCATCTGTCCTGTCCCTTCCTAGCTCCTGGAAGTTAGCTAAGGGGTTAGGCGAGGGCAAAGTTGAGCCGCCAGGCAGTCAGGGCCAATCACAGCAGCCTTTGCCTCCTCCTCCCAGTCTCCTCCCAAGCCCCCTCCGCTAGCTTCACCTAGGCCCAGCTCCAGCTGGAGACCCTGGTGGTATGGCAGCCCATTCAAAGGTGCCAATCAGCAGTGTGTCACGAAGTCAAGTGTTTGTGACTGGACACATCTTTGGGAACCACAGCCCAGCTGGGTGGGGAAGCGAGGAAAAGGCCTTCTCTAGAAGACAGGCTTGAATGCCAGTGAGAATACCTAAGCACAGGCTTTCCCTGACCCATGCTGGGATGATGGGGGAATAAAGCGTGGCTCCCACCAGCCTGGCCAGTGAAGACCTTGCTGAGGAGAAGTATTTCAGTGGAATCTGAAGGGGTGAGAGCAGGAGTTAGCTGATCCAGACAGAGGTCCTGAACCTGACCACCTCGGGGCGGGGGGTTCCCCCAACAAATCTGACCCACTCCAAACAGTAAATAACAGTGGCTAATTTTGGCAGGGATTCTCCTCCCTACACGAGGAATTCTCATATTCCCCCACCCTGAGAAACCAGTGCGCTGGAGTAATGCACACGGACCCCAACTCTCTCTTCACTTCCCAAGCTTCCCCGACACAAGGCCCTGGGGAAGACGAACTGACAGGCCATCAGCTGAGGGGATGCCTATGGTGGGCTGGAGTGAAGAGTAGGCAGGCTCGCCTCTAAGGCACAGATCCAAAAGGTCCCGGTGCTGCAACTACCCAGAACATCACTGGGAATCACTGCTATGAGCCCCAGAACCAACTTAGGTTCTGCTTACACACACCCACAAGCCAGCCCCCTCGGCAACTTTCTCCTCTTCCTGTGGCTCCCATCTCAAGGAGTAACATCACGTACCTCCATCCAGGTGCCTAAGGAGATACCGCAGTCATCGGTGAACACCCACCTGGTACCAGTCCTACCAGAGACACCACTCCACTATCCTCACCATCTCAGGCCAGACCTGTCCCTCTTCCCTAGAGTCTGGGCCTCCAGCAAAACCATCAGTAGCCCCTGCTTAAAACTGACCACAGCTCCCTCTGGCCTGCACTGCAGAGCCTGAGCTCCTCGGCCTCTCTCCACATGGATCCTTCTGCCTGGACTGCTCCTCACTGAGCTTGATCTCCTGGGAGTGCCTCCTCAGCCCTCAAATCAGCACAGCCATACTTTCTCCCAGGCAGATTTAGGCTCCTCGTCCGTAATCCTATTGCTACCACCGTAGACGTTCCCTACACCTAGAAACACCCTTCTGCCCATCTTCACCTGTCCAAATCCTACTTCATCTTTCAAGGCCAGATCAAATTCCACATCCTCCCCCAAACCTTTCCTGAGTCTCACCAAATAAGTGCCCTCTCTCCTTCTTGTGAACGCCACAGAATTTTATCTCAACTCCTCTTACCAGCACTTTCTTCCTTGAGTTATAATTATCTGGGGCCATGCCTTATTGCCCCTTGAAAGCAGGATCCTTGCCTCGTTTATCTTTGCAGCATCCAAAGTACCTCATTTTTTTGAAGGGGGGAATTTTATGGAACTGTTTTTATGAAAATGTAACCCACTAGGGAACTCTATCTCTACAAAACAGGAAATCTAAATACTCTGCTGAAATGATGCTGCATTTCAATGACACATGAGCAGAAAGAACCCTCAAGTATCCTCTACTGAAAGTTAGAAAACAGAGGAAGCAGATTTACCTACGCAGTGCGATTAATTACTTTTGTGTGTAGCCCTTCTAGCCATGGGCTTGTTAATTCCCACCCAGGTGACTGTGTGATAGGGTAATTGTGGCCTATCAAGGGGATTGGTCAGTTTTGCCTTAAAAGAGAGCCAATTCCAGAGCAGAGAGGAGGAGCCCACCACCACCAAGGAAGGAGAGACCAGCAGGAGGAGATGGTGCAGTAGGCTTCTCAGCCCATGGAGAGAGAAAGCTGAGTGCCTTTGGGCAGAGGCCTAGGGCCAGGGAGAGGTGTGCCTGTGAGCATGGCTGGGGAGAGGCTGTCCGGATGGAAAAACTGTATCTTGAGTGTTCCTGAGCTTGAACTGCAACTGTTAATTCCCTAATAAACCCCATAATTGTCAGTATGGTCTGTAAGTTCTGTGTGGCCACTGCAATGAATTACGGAACCCAGTAGAGTGCTGTGGGAAGGACAGTTGGTGTCAGAATTGGTAGAGATGGTGGAGACAGGAGGTGTGTCTGACTTCCACCTGATAGGAATCAGCCCTGATCTTGGTTCTCCTTCCCCCTTGTGGGGTTGAAGGAGGTCAGATACCTCCCCCATGCCATTTTTACAACCTAAAAGTAGGAAGAGGGGATCTGGGAAGTGCAGTAAGGCATACAAAACACAGACAACCTCGTGATGCAGACGGCTTTGTGAAAGTTGAGGGAGCACGCACAAGAAATAGGGGCAGGGCTTTACACTGGTGGCACTGATGCTGGTATGGCATCCCATGTCAGTATCTGGTGCCAAAATAGACTATGTCCTTCGACGTGAATTTCCACTTTGACTGACTCACTAGGGATCACAGATGGCATGCCACTGCATCAATAAAAATAACTGTAATGGAATGAAACACAGGGTATTTAAATCCATGGGTTTATGATGACACTAAGAAAAAAACTCACCTCATCGGTCACCTTTGGAAGATGCTAGGGAACCCAGTAATTATGCCCAAAACACTAAATAAGTAAATACACTGTATGCTCTCAGGTAACCAGTTAACAAGGGAAAGTTTCTTTAGAAGAATTATAGCTAATAAAGGCGAACAGAATGATAGAATATTAGCATTTTACAAACCTATCATAACGAAACAACAGATTTAGGCAACATCACATGAGAAACAACCAAGCATTATGAGCTTCCTGATGGGGTACACAAGACCATCTATGAAGTAATCTTGGGGAACAAAAAAACCCACAACTGAATCAGATCAAGCTTCTAGATCTAACTATCAACACGCAGAAAATGAAAAAGACAGAGGTTAAACGACATCACATATATGCAATACGCAAAATCCAGATTGTGCGAAACTTGCCAGGACAAAAAACCAGGTCTCTTGAACAAATAAACTGCAAGGGAAAAAAAAAGATGTCCCTTAATCCATAGGTTCCTCCTATCAATCAAAGAAATGTGTGGACCTTGTCTGGAACCTGAATCAAAGAAAAAACAGTAAGAAAGCATTGGGGCTGCAGTGAATCTGAAAATGAAATTAAGGAAACAATTCCATTCACAATAGCATCAAAAAGAATAAAATACTTAAGAATAAATTTAACAAAAGAGTACAAAACTTATACTTTGAGAATTATAAAAACATTGTTGAAAAAAATTAATGAACACCTAAATAAATGGAAAACATTCCATGTTCATGGGCTAGAAAATTAGCATTAAGACGGCAATACTCCTCTAACTGATCTACAGATTCAACACAATCCTGATTAAAATCCAAGGCGACTTCTTGGTACAAATTGACAAGCTGATTATAAAATTCATATGGAATTGCAAGGGAACCAGAATAGCCAAAAGAACCCTGAAAAAAGAACAAAGTAGGAAGACTAACATATCCTAATTTCAAAACATACTACAAAGTAATGGTAATCAAGACAGTATGCTAGTGGCACAAAGATTAATGAATAGAACTGGGAGTCCAGAAACAAACCCATACATCTATGGTCAACTGATTCTGAACAACAGTGTAAAGTCTATTCGATGGAGAAATAACAAAAACATAGTACAGAGATGAATGGTACTGAGACTGGATATTCACATGCAAAAGAATTAACTTGGACCCCTACCTCATACCACATACAAAAATTAACTCAAAGTGCATCAAAGACCTAAATATAAGAGCAAAAACTACAAAACTCTAAGAAGAAAACTTAGCAGTAAATCTTTAGGACTTTGGATTTGGCAAAGGATTCTTAGATATGACACCAAAAACATGAGCAACAAAAGAAAACAGATAAACTGGACTTCATCAAAATTAAAAACATTTGTGCTTTAAAGGATACCATTGAGAAAGTGAAAAGATAATCCAAAGAATGAGAGAAAATATTTGCAAATCATACGTCTGATAAGGGACGTCTATCTAGAATATACAAAGAACGCTCACAACTCAATAATAAAAAGACAAATAACCCAATTAAAAAATGGACAAAGGATCTGAACAGACATTTCTCCAAAGAAGATATACAAATGGTCACAAATATCTATAGCATCATTAGTTATAATAGCCAAACAGTGCAAACAACCCAAATGCCCATCAATGAACAAATGAATAAACAAAATGTGATATATCCATACAATGGAATATTATTCAGCCATAAAAAGTAATGAATTACTGATACATGAACGAACCTTGAAAACATACTAAGTGAAAGAAGCCAGTCACAAACAACCAGAGTATATGATTCCATTCATATGAAAGTCCAGAATAGAGAAATCTGAGACAGAAAGTAGATCAGTGAGTGGTTGCTTAAGGGTTAGGAAAGGAGCCCTGGTGGTACAGTGGTTAAGCACTCGGCTGCTAACCAAAAAGTCAGAGGTTCGAACTCACCAGCCACTCCATGTGAGAAACATGCGGCAATCTGCTTCCATAAAGATTACAGCCTTGAAAAATATTAGCCCAAGAGAGAAAAAGGACCACATAAACCAGAGACTCCATCAGCCTGAGACCAGAAGACCTAGATGGTGCCCAGCTACCACCAGTGACCGCCCTGACAGGGAACACAACAGAGTCCCTGATGGAGCAGGAGAAAAGTGGGATGCAGAACTGAATTCTAGTAAAAAGACCAGACTTAATGGTCTGACTGAGGCTGGCGGGACCCCAGAAGACATGGCCTCCGGACTCTCTATTAACCCAGAACTAAAACCATTCTCAAAGCCAACTCTTCAGACATAGACTGGACTATAAGACATAAAATGATACTCGTGAAGACTGTGCTTCTTAGTTCAACTAGATGCATGAGACTAAACGTGCAGCTCCTATGCGGAGGCAAGATGAGAAGGCAGAAAGGGACAGGAGCTGGTTGAACAGACACAGGAAATCTGGGGTGGAAAGGAGGAGTGTGCTGACATATTACAGGGAGAGCAACTAGGCTCACATAACAATGTGTGTATAAATTTTAGTATGAGAAACTAACTTGAATTGTAAACTTCACTTAAAGCACAATTGGAAAAAAAAAGATAATAGCCTTGAGAACACTACAGGCAGTTCCACTCTGTTCTATAGAGTCACTATGAGTTGGAATCGACTCGTCGGCACACAACAAGGGTTGGGGAAACAAACAGGGGAGGAGGTGAAAGGATGACAGCTAAAAGACACAGGGTTTCTTCTTAAAGTGATGAAAATGTTCTAAAATTGACTGTGGTGATGGATACACGTATCAGTGCATACAAGTAACCCCCACTCTTTGAAAGTTCGCTTTATACTACTTCACTTTTACGAAAGACCTACATTGGTACCTGTTTTTGCTAACTGAATGAAATCCGAAAAGGATTTTCACTTGCACAAAAAAAGATGAAAAGCAGAAATAGCATTTAGCATTGCAGCGAGCTGTTAAAGAGGCAGCTCGCACCCCAAGCAGCAAGAGCTCATGTCTCGAGAGTGGCATCACCAAGCTCCTTCCCCAGAAACTACACTCAGCATCTACTTTATATAGGCTGTGGATTTATCATTTCATTTCTGTTTTTACTACACATTAGTTTTATTTTAGGCTTCACGTGTTATTTGGTATGATTTGGTAGGTTATTTTTTGCATCTGGGAATGCTCAAAAACTTGGTAATGGTAATTGCTTCTTCGCTTTACATTTCAGCTTATGAAAGGTTTCACAGAAATGCTCTACTTCCGGATAGGAGGGGAAACCTATATACCGAAAACCACTGAACTGTACACTTTAAATCGGTGAACTGTATGGTATGTGAATTATATCTCAATAAGCCTGTTTTAGAAAAATAAAGAAGCAAAGCAGTAGGCGAAATCTGAATCCTGAGGAGACATTTGATGATATTTAAGGAATTATCATTTTCTATTTCTTTTTGGATAGAGTCCTAGGTGGTGCAAATAATTAACATGCTTGGCAGCTAACCGAAAGGTTGCTGCTTCGAGTCCACCCAGAGGTGCCTTGGAAAAAAGGCCTGGCAATCTACTTCCAAAAAATCAACCATTGAAAACCCTAGGGAACAAAGTTCTACCGTAATCTGACACACGTGGGGTCACCATGAGTCAAAAGTGACTTGAGAGCAACTGGTTTATTTTTGTTTTTTTTTTTTCCTTTTTGGGAGAATTTATAATCAATTAGCATTAAAGTTATGTTAATTAAAAAACTTTTCTTTTTAAATATTCACAAAATATTTACAAATCCAAAAATATGCCCGGAATTTGCTTCAAAGTAATCTGAGAGAAAGTGGTCACAAGTTAATGACTGTTGTAGCCAAGGGATGGGTTACACAGGGGTTCCTAGGACTATTCTACCTTTGCTTCTGTTTGAAATATTCTATAATAAAAAGTTTTTAAAAGCTACAATAATTCACTTTCACCAGCAATGTCTGAAAGTGTCCTTTCTTCCACATCTCTGCAATGTTCTTTTTAATTTTTGTCAGTCTTCTGAGAATTGCCCATTTTTCTGTTGTAAAAGATCCCCGACCCACTTTCCTCATTTGTAAAAATGGGATAGTAACACCTACCCCTCTTGCGGAACTGCTAAAGGATCATGTGAAATTGGGTGGATAAAGCACCTGGCTACTAGTGGAACTTCAATAAATGACAGCTTGCTTCCCCTCCCCCACTCCTTGCCCTTGGCATTTTGCTTCTGCTAGAGGTTACTATTACACCAAAGGAAGGCCAGGTGAATTTTTCTGAAGAGACAGAGCTGCCCAAGGGACAGCAGCACCTAACGCTTACCTTCTCTGCCATCCCCTCTTCTCCTCCAATGAAAAAGTCTGTTTTGCGTCGAAGGAAGCTGAAGAAGGTGTTCACAAGCTGAAAGAAAAGAGAGAAAACTGAAGCTATGGAGACACCATACTGGGAGGCTCTCCACTGAATAGAGGCTAATTTCCTTACTCTAGGAGGGAACTTGGGACTTATTCTCACCTTGGAGCCTCTTAACTGAGACATCTCCCTCCTCCAAGTCCCCTTAGTCACTCCCACCAGGAAGCTTACCCTAACTTTAGACCATCTGGGAGGTCTCACCTCTTGTGTGTGTTTACATGTAGCTTGAAGATGTGAAATATTCACTCCTCTGTATCCAGAGCATGAAATGCCTGGGCCCAACTTTACTCTCCAGAAAATTAAAAAAACCCATCCAGAGTGGCGCTGGCTGAGCTACCACGGCAGAACTAGGAGAGGAGCAAACAAAGCCACTTCAAAGGAGGTCAAGACCAACTAACACTGGTTGGGGTAGCAGTGTAGCCAAGTGGTTAAGAGCTTGGGTTTTAGTTTCAGACTGATATTAGCTGTGTGACGTTGGGGGCAGTCTCTTAACTCTGTAAAACAGGAATAGCAGCAGGACCTATTTCTGGAGACCCTGTGAGGATTAAATGAAGTAATGAAGGTAAGGCCCTTGGCAGTGTCTGGCACAGAACAACAGATCCACTGCTAGAGGATGAAATCCTAACAGGAGGAACCATGAACTTAGTCTGTCTACATCCCCAGGGCTCGGCACTGTATCAGGCTCAGAGTATGTGCTCAGTAAAATACTTGCTGAATGAACTGATCTAGTGGTGATCTAGAGTTTGCACGTTCAAGCCATTTTATTTGCCCAAGGGTTCTAAATCTGATGCTAGAATTTATCTCAATGGTTTCAATAGGAATTGAAACTTCTAGACATGTTTTCAATTCTCAAAAATGAACTCACTCCCAAATCTGGTTTTGTGTCAACAATTTAGGGGAATGGAGGAGCCTTTTTACACTTGCAAATTAGTAACATCCTCCGGACCTCAAAGAGCTTGGGAGTCCTTGGTCACAAAAGGCACCTGGGTGAAAGAATGGAAATGGACAGCTCAATGAAAACCTGTCCTCAGTGAGAAAGAAAATCAGCAAAGGACTGCGGAAAGCAAAATGGCCTGAGGAGCCTGGTCTCCAGGAGGTCAGGAGTCTCTGGGCCTCCATTTCTTCATTTATAAAATGAAGTTCTGGACTGATTTTGACAGGCTATTCTACCTCTAACTTTCTAGGTTGCTGCTTCAAAAAATCGACTCCAGAATCCACACTAGTTGATCCTTACCGTTCAGACTATGTGTTATTATCGTGTGGTCACTCAGCATGCATTACGTTTTTTTAAAAAGCTCCTTGTAAGCTCCATCAGGGCAAGGACAAGTTTCTGCTCACCTATGTATCCCCAGGACCCAGCCCAGTGAGTCCCAGTGAGTGTCTTAAAAAAAAAAAAAAAATCACTGATGGAGTGGCTTAAGACGCATAGCGACCCTATAGGACAGAGTGGAACTGCCTCATAGGGTTTCCAAGGAGCAGCTGGTGGATTCGAACTCCTGACCTTTCGGTTAGCAGCTGAGCTTTTAACCACTGTGCCAGCAGGGCTCCAGTGAGTGTCTGGCACACATAAATCACCCAACAAATACTTGATGAATGAACAAGCCTGATTATTTAGAACTCCTCACTGTTTTCAAGATACCACTCTTCTACAACGATTCAGGAAAACAAGGATTTGTAGCTCCGTTTTAAGAGAGAAGAAAAATGAGGCTTGGAGAGGTGGGAAGGTCCCAAGCTTCCCAGGCAGTGGAAACCAATTGCGAGCACAGGCCTCCTACTCCCCCATTCACAGCCTAAAAAGACCACGTGCTAACATCATCTCTCCACACACACCCCGCACACACTCATCGGCTCACTACACGTCTTGGTACGTGCAAATACCAGAGTTCAGTATGACTCGTCCTAAAGGACGCTCTCTGGGAGAAGCCACCTGTGGGGGACCAGGGCTAGAAGCATGTGTGAGACCAAGGGGGTATACCAAGGCTCTGGAGGAAGGGTTTCAAAGGGTCGGGTTCAAGAATGCCACAGTTGCTGAGTTAGAAGTTACTGAAGGGCGCCGGGGGCCTGGGATTGATACGAGGGAGTGGGGCATGCTGGCTGGGCGGCCAGACGGGAAGCTGAGGTGTAGTGAGAATGTGGGGGCGTCCCGGAAGCCCGTGAGGTCCAGGAATGGCCCTCGAAGGCAGAGACGGACTGAGAGAGCTTGGCTAGGGCCGCCTGAATGGGCGGGCAGCGCCAGACCAGGCCGGGCCGACGCCGCGCGGGCGGTTACCTCCTGCACGCCGCCCTCGTGCTGCTGCGCCATGGCCAGCAGCATGCCGTCGAACCGCTCCTCTTCCTGCTCCCCTCCCATCGCGCCAGCCACCTTCTGCGCTAGGAAAGCCGAGCTCGGCACTGGAGCCCAGCGCTCTCTGCTCCTTCGGGTCGCGTTGGGCCCAACCGCTCCAGGCCTCCGCCTTTCGCAGCGGAGCAGGAAATACGCACTTGCCGTACCACTCAGGCCCGCCTTCTCCCCTTGCCTTCCCGCCTTCCTCTGGTCCCTCGGCCATTGACCGCGCATTTAACAGCCCGCTTCGCCGATCATTGGTCGGCTTTCTGAGCCAATCAATGAGCGAGTCCAAGAAGTGGTGGGCGGAGCCCAGAGCTCGGGAGTTTGGCGTGAGTTGCTATGGTCACCAGATGCTTTGGAACCTTCCAGAAAGCATTGGGCTCAAATCTGGTGGGGTTGGAAGTTAAAAAGGGACAAACTTTGTTCCTCTGCCTTGTTCCCTGCTTGTAGAACGGCGGAGCTGAGATGAAAGTGCCCTTATCATCTCTTCCAATCCTTCCATGAGGCAATTGAGGCCCGGAAAGAAGGAGCTTGCCCAAAGGACAGCTTACCTCCGTCATCATCATATACTGGACCACGGCCGGCTTCATGAGCATCCAAACTATGTGGTCGCACAGGGTCCCAGGCCTGAAGAGCCTTGCATTTGGTTTTCTTTTCTTAATTAGGGAAATTATTTTTCTTTTTTTGTTTATTGTTGTAGTTTAAGTGAAAGTTTACATTTCAGGTTAATCTCTTACACAAAAATTTATACATACATTGTTACAACTAAGTAAGCTGTTCACTCTTACTGTTGAAGTGTTAGTCCGACTTTAAGAGAAATCCAAACTCCATCAGCTTTTGATAGTATCTTGGTTTTTTAAATAACTTCAGTCTGTAATTGGCATTCAGAATGCTCTTGGCATACCAGTTTGTGATGGCATTAAAGACCTGTTAAGACACTTGAGCCCAGCTTTATTAACCAAAACTGATACACCACCTTTATCATCTAAATAAAGTCCGCTTTATCTAAAAAAAAAAAAATTTATACCTACATTGTTATGTGACCCTAATTGTTCTCCCTGTACTGTGACAGCACACTCCTCCTTTCCACCCCTGATTTCCCATGTCCATTCAACCAGCTCCTAACCCTCTCTGCCTTCTCATCTCACCTCTGGACAGAAGTTGCCTGTTTAGTCTCATGTATCTACTTGAGCTAAAAAGCACTCTCTTCACGAGTATCATTTTATGTCCCACAGTCCGGTCCAATCTTTGAAGAGTTGGCCTCCGAAATTGTTTTAGTTCTAGGCTGATAGAGAATCCGGGAGCCATGCTTTCCAGGGTTCCTCCAGTTTCCGTCAGACCATTAAGTCTGGTCTTTTCACTAGAATTTGAGTTCTGCACCCTGCCTTTCTCCTGCTCCATCAGGGACTGTCTGTTGTGTTCCCTGTCAGGGTGGTCATTGGTGTAACCAGGCACCATCTAGCTCTTCTGGTCTCAGGCGGATGAAGTCTCTGGTTTATGTGGCCCTTTCTGTCTCTTGGGCTAATACTTGCCTTTTGTCTTTGGTGTTCTTCATTCTCCTTTACTCCAGGTGGTTGGGACCAATTGATGTATCTTAGATGGCCGCTTGCAAGCTTTTAAGACCCCAGATGCCACTCACCAAAGTAGGATGCAGAACATTTTCTTAATAAGATTTGTTATGCCAATTGACCTAGATGTCCCCTGAAAGCATAGTCCCCAGACCCCACCCCTGCTACTCTGTCCCTCAGAGTGTTTGATCATATTCAGGAAACTTATTAGCTTTGGTTTCGTCCAGTTGCCTAGCACTTGGTTTAATGCTCTGCTGGCACAGTCTTGAAATTCTTAATAATTTTTTAATAAGGGGTTCCACCTTTTCATTTTGCACTGCACTCTGCAAATTATGTAACCAGTCCTGTAGTCTACCTTCACTCCTGTTAATGTGAGGGATAGGCCCCAGCCATCTAAGGCCAATCCCTCCACTAGTGCAATGAATTTCACCATTTTTAGTCTTCTCAGGGATCCTAACCCTGCGATTATCCCTTTTTTATCTCCTGCATCACACATTTCTTTCTTCTGGATCATTCCCAGCAACTTACAAACATGCTTTAATATCACTTTTTTAAAAAAAATTCTGCGACCTCACTCTGATCCTGTTACCTCCCCACTTTTTAGCTCTTATTCTCAGCGAAACTTTTTGAAAAGTTTGCTACACTTGTTTCTCCACTTCCTCAACTCCCATCTCTCTTCAACTTACTCTAATTTAGTCTGTTCTTAAGATATTTGATTAAGGTCACATGGTCTACATATTGTCAAAGTCAGTGGACCACTATTATCTTACTTGATTTCGCAGCTGCATTTGACACAGTTGACCCCTTACTTTTTTTTTCTTGAGGCTTCTGTGTCACCACAATGACCTGGTTTTCTTTCCACCTCACTAACACTCTGTCAGTGTCTTGTGCTACACAGACTTATAAATACTGGAGTCTCTAGCAACCGCTCGCTCTCTTTTCCTATCTATACTCTCTCCTTAGGTGATCTCATTGAAACAAATGGTTACAATTACCATCTACATGCTAATGAGGCCCAAATGGACATCTCTGGCCCAGACCTCTTGTGAGCTCCAGGCTCACCTCCACTGGAGTTAGTAGATATCTCAAAACGAATATGGCCTACATTAATACTCCCTCTTTGTTGTTGTGGAGCCCTGGTGGCGCGGTAGTTAAGAGCTCAGCTGCTAACCAAAAGGTCAGCAGTTCAAATCCACCAGCTGCTCCTTGGAAACCCTATAGGGCAGTTCTACTCTGTCCTATAGGGTCGCTATAAGTTGGATTTGACTTGACAGCAACAGGTCTTGTTGATGTTGTTGTATGCCACTGAGTAGACACAACAAATTAATTCTTCCCAAAATCTTCCCCACTGAGTTAAATGACCGCTTCAAGCACCCATTTGCCAAAGCCAAAATCTCCACCATTTTCCCAGGCCAAACTCTAAACTAAAATGGCGACCCTATGTGTTGCAGAGTAGAATCATGCCCCCTAGGGTTTTCAAGACTGTGACTTTTTGGAAGCAGATCACCAGGACTTTCTTCCAAGGTGCCTCTGGGTGGGTTCAAACCACCAACCTTTTGCTTAGTAGTTGAGTGTTTAACTATTTGTGCCACTCAGAGACTCCAGCCAACCTCCAGACTCATTTAATTCATTAGTAAGTTCTGTCTGCTCTCCAAAATATATCCTGATTCTGTCGCCCTCCCACCACCTCTGCTGCTGTTCCTTCAGTCTAAGTCAGCACATCTCTTATTTGGGCAGCTACTTCTATGGCTTCCTAACTGGTCTCCTTACCACTTTTCTTGCCCCGTTTAACAGTCCGTCCGCCCTGCACCCAGCAGCCAGAGCAATCCTTCTAAGATGTGAGTCATATCTTGTTACCCCTTTGCTTAAAATTAGCCCTTTAGTGGATTGCCATAGCATTCAGGATAAATGCCAAACTCTCAAGCATGACCTCCGAGAAGCAACATCATCAGGGCCCTGGCTACCTTTCCAGTCTCATCTTGTCCCACGCCATCCTTCACTCACAAGGCTCCCTCTTCACTGGCTTCTTTCAGCTCCTCAAATGTCCTGTCCTGGTTCCTAAGCCTTGCCAGCCAACTCCTTCTCATCTATCAGGTCTCAGTCCAAAAGCCACTTCCTCTGTGAAGCTTTACTAATCCTGATATACAGATTAAGTCTCCATGATTTTTGCTTACAATGCTCCTATAATGTAAATGCTGTTATCATCCCCATTTAGGGGTTGAGAAATAGGGACAGAGAAGTCACGTGCTCAAGGTCACACACGTGTAAGGGAGAGCCAGGATCTAAACTCAGGCAGCCTAGCCCCAGAGCCCACACACTTACTCACTTCATCTTAGAGTTCTGCCTCCCTAAATTGGCATTCTGACTTTATAAATCATTCCAGGCACTGTTTGATGTGACTCCTCCCTGAGAAACCAGGCCTGATCTTAGACCCTGGTGAATTCACCTTGATGACAAATTTTGCCCAGGATGGCGTCTTGGTGACCAATCAGTCTCCTCTAGTGACCTCTGACCCCATCAACATTTGAACACTACCACCAGCAGGTAAGTGGGTAATTACAGCACTGTCTTAGTTATGTAGTGCTGCTATAACAGAAATACCACAATTGGATGGTTTTAACAAACAGAAATTTATTCTCACACAGTCTGGGAGGCTAGAAGTCCTATTGCAGGGTGTCACCTCCAGGAGAAGTATTTCTCTCTCTGTTGGTTCTGGGGGAAGGTCCTTGGCAACAATCTTCCTCTGGTCTAGGAGCTTCTCCGCGCAGGGACCCCAGGTCCAGAGGACATGTGCTTCTCCTGGCACTTCTTTCTGGGTGGTACGAGGTCCCACTCTTCTCTGCTAGCTTCTCTCTTTTATATCTCAAAAGAGATTGACTTGAAATACAACCTAACTCTGTAGATTGTATCTTGCCTCGTTAACATAACTGCCTCTAACCCTTCCTCATTAATATCATAAAGGTTAGGATTTATACAACACATAGGATAATCACATCAGATCATAAAATGGTGGACAACCACACAATACTGGGAATCATGGCCTAGCCAGGTTGACACATTTTTTGGGAACACAATTCAATTCATAACAAGCACCATGTGTTAAATGCTCTATTAGGGGTGTGGATTAGATGACCTGGGAACTCAGAAAGGGAGCAATTTGTGTTGCTGAAGAGGTGGAGAAAGAAAGACGGGAAGGCTGTGGATGGTAACATCTGAGCTATACCAAGAAGGATGACCAGGAGCTTATCAAACAGACTGGCTTTGGGAAAGGCATCCCAGGCAGGAGGAACAGCATGAGCAAGAGCTTGGATGCATGAAGGTGCATGACATGTTCAAGGAATGAGAATTTGCCTAGTGCTGGCTCTCTCCCAATTCCAAGCCTAAACTCAGGCCCTCTGCACCTGAGATTCCCAGCTGCACCTCCACCAGTCTGAGGCCTCTGTACACAGCAAAAGCAAACATGTGCACCCTAGTCATGGGATTGTAAAGCATTTTCAAACACCTTATCTCATTGGCTTCTCTTTATTTTTACAGATAATGTCCAGCCCTGTGCCTGGCACAGGTGCTTAATAAGTGGCAGT